TTTTTACTGTTCCTCCTCTTTACTCCTTAAAGTTTAGTGTTTATAAAGGTAAAAATTATTTTACATTATTATTAGTTGAATTCTCTTTGGTTTTGTAAATATTATTGTATATGTGTGTGTATGACTACCATAGTTATGTTTTAACAATTTTATACAGGCATAATGTAAAGAGTTCACTTTTTCCCGTTATTTGTTTTCTCAGTTTTCTTTATTATATTGTTATTTTTTTTTTATATTTTTATACATAAACTTGTTTTGGGAAATTTTCTTTTAAAAAGTAATTTCAGTTTATTAAAATAATATAAAAATAAGCAGAGAAATGAGTTACTATAAAATGAAGAATTTTAATAACAGTAAAACAAAAAAGAGAAAGAAGAAAACAATGAGAGTGAGAATAAAATAAAGGTAAATAATAAGCTTAGAAGATGATGGTGTTGTAAAGAGTATAAGCACGAAACAATAGAAAAAAATTGCAGTTGAATATAGCAACTATAAGGTAAATGTGTCAATATTTTAAATATTTTTTTTCAAAATTCTCACACTAATAGGTTTTCAAAGAAATTTCAAGAAAAAGAGAAGGGTATACATTTGGTAATATTCCTAACTGAAATAGCAGTAGGTCAAGAAACATATAACGCAATTTTTTTATATTAAACCCTATACTTTGTGATCAATATAATTTTGCATTGAAGTTGATATTTTATAGCAGATAGCACTCGGCAGTATCAAATACGAAAACATTTTATTTTTAAATTTCATTTTAAATTTAATAAAAAAACAATATCGTATGCTTGATCTATTATTTTAATGTTTTATAAATTTTGTATTGTATACGATTATTGTAAATCAAATTAACTTTACATAAAACGATAATCGTTGGAGTATGAAATTATCAAACTATTAGTCATTTATTAACCCATTCACATATTAACAACGGCGCATACATATCTTGTCATCTAATCCGTAACATTACCCGAATTCTTTTACCAATATTGATTGTAAAATTAATTCTAAATCATCGTATTCATTTGTACCCACCTATTCGCTAGTGACCGTATATTTAAAATGCCAATAGAAATAATAAAATACGAATTGGTATTTATCTTAGCAACAAGATATTCAAAGATTTGGTTATTTTTAAATTTAATTTCAAAAGTCTTGGAAAATTATTTTCTAAACACTCTTAAATGAAATTCATTTCAATATTAATATTTCAAACGAAATAACAACAACATAACATTAACTACGAAATACTAGAAAAATAAATTTAAATTGAAACTAATTCATGTAGTTCACAAATTTAGATTAATTTAGTGTGTAAAGAACAATCAAAAAAAAAAAAAATTGAAACAAAAGAAAAGAAAAAAATTAAATTGATTTTCTTCTTTTTTTTCATATTTTTTCATTTCTTGTTGTATTTCATAACAATAATGTAATTTACAGGATTAAAAAAGATCCTTGGTTGATTTTCTTGAGGGCTCTTAAGTAACAAAACAAAACACGAAAACATAACAAAATATTGTATAAAACTTAAAAAATATCAGAGAAAAAAAGGGTTGTAAAAAATTATATGAAAAATATTTGTAAAATAAAATATTATTTTTGTTTATTAAATTAATTGAAATTTTGAAGTAATTGCTGACAGTGTGAAATTATAATATAAATGTGTGTGTATGTTTATAGAGAAATTTACCCGCATTCATCCGCAATTTATCATGTAATTTATTAATTTATTTATTATATATTATAAAATTAAATAAGCACTTTATTATTGCTAGGAATTTTATATAAAATTTTCCATTATAATTGATTAATTAATTAATTTTATTATAGTACAAAAATTTTATTTATTTTTTAAATTATAAGTAAATTATTTTATAAATAATAAATAATAAATTTTAAATAATTTTCAAAGTCCTTGTTATTTAAAGTGGAAACTTATTTTGAAAAAAAAAAATCAAATGAAAAAGTTCTTTAACTTTTCTTAAAAATTTTTAATATTTATAAATGGTGAGGATTGAAAATGCTTCATTTTTATTTTCGAAATTGTGTTGAAATTTAAATAAGCATTAAAATAAGATTTTAACAATGGTTTGAGTCTTGTTCGTTTGATTACGGCAGAACCATCTGTTTTGCTGTTGTATGAATAAATTTCAATTGAGTTAACATTATTAGTGTAATAGGCACAATACTTGTTAGTTCAACAACTACACGTTGTATTAATAATTCAGTAATAACTATGATTATTTCTTTATGAAAGGTAAATAACAGTTAATTAGTTTCTTGTCTAGGTAGACTTTTACAAAGGTTAACTTGAGTATAAAACCTAAGCTTTATATTTAAAGTTGCCGACTGAGACAGAGACAGACTACAATGAATAAACAACTTTTCCTTCTGATATTCACACTATAAACTGAAATGTTTGTTACTCATTACTGCTGGTTAATTATAATCTGGTTGATTGCATATTTCAAAAAAAAATTTGTAATTCAAAATTATGAAATTTCATTTTTCTCATTCCAATAATTTTACTTCGGAATTGAAAATACTCTTAATGGTATTCAAACTCTCAAACTATATTCATATTTTCGGAATGAACATGTAAAATATTTTATTTAATTAACGTATCTTTTAATTGTTATCTTAAGTTTACCTTTAGTATTTAATATTATAAAAATTATATATAACACGCTTTTCTGGAATCTAACGCGGTTTTTTAATTTACATTGCAAGCAAGAATTCAAAAAACATATATAAAATAAAAATAAAATTCATTATATTCTTAAATCTAAAAATACAAAAGAAATTTGAATAAGTAAGAAAAATAAATATTTGAAGAAAGAAAAATTTTATTCAGAAAATTTTTGAAGGAAACTACTTGACTTACGTACAGTATGTATATGTAAGTACAGATAGATTAAATAGCAATGACAAAATAGTGTTACAATTTTTGTTAACTGTTAAATTTGTAACAGTATATGTAATTGTGAACAGGGTCTGTCAAAATTAAATTATGGGATGAAAAAAAAATCAATAAAAAAAAAGCTCATTTTTATGACTCTCAATTCTCTCTGCTTTTTATCTTATTTTGATCAAAATATTTGTAAATCTATAAATCAGCCATTTATTAATATTCTACCAGACTCAAAATGCACAGAAATTTTCTTGAAGATGATGACTTTCGAAATTACTAATAGTGTATGTTCTAATACTCTTATATCGGCACAAAAAGAGACATTAGCTTGAATAGCTTTAAAACTTACTTTTAATCAAAATTTTCATATTAACCCTATAGAGCATATTTAAAAAGTATGAAAGGGTACCACTCCATTATGCTGTAGGAACTGGCTTTAAAAAAATCATATTCATATGTTGCTTGTTAAGCTTTTTTTATTAAAGAAATCTTAACACCAAAATTAAAATATTCCAGAATAACATGAAAAAATCGAGAGAGTAATATTGTTAAGTTCGTTGTAATTTATTTAAAAAAAAATACACCCTGTCTTTACACACAAAAAAAAATAATTATATTTATTAATAGTATTAGTTTTGGTTTTATCTGTGAACAATGGTGCGGTATTGAGGCTGTTTTTTCTTCTCTTTTTTCTCATATTTTTCTTGTGTGTACCAAAAAATTTCTTAAGATAAGGGTATAAAGCATAAATTAAATTTCAAAAAATTTTATTTTTTATTTTTTTTTTTCTTTAAATTTTCATTCTTCTCATCAAATCCCATTAAAGGATAATCTTATTAATAAAATGGGATTACTAAAAGACTAGAAACATAATATACAATAAGGAAAAGAAAAGGAAGGACTAAAATAGACTTGGAAATATTTTGTAAAAATTTATTTATTTTGAATATATATATACATATATATATATGTAGGCATGGATATATGTGATATATATGGGAATAACAAGAGGACAAAAGAAGAAAAATTATATCTCATCTTCTTTAGAATATTTTTGTAAATTATTAAAGGCAAGATAGTGTGCTCTGTTGGTAAGAGTTTAAAATATTTTAATATGGTGGGAATAAATGAACTTGTATACTTGTATAACGGATTTGTTATCTGAAGTGTGTCTATTTTCATATACTTAAGCTTTAAGGTGTTATAATCGTAAAAATTTCAAAATTTTTTCGATTCAAGCACAGTTTTTGATATAGTCTTTAACAATCCTAGTTAATGAATATTTTTCATTAAGTTTAAACGAATAGTTAATCCGGTTTCATTTTTAATTCGAAAACTATCATATGCAACATTTATAGCTCTGCTGCATGGGAAAATTACAAGGGAATGTATTACAAATTTTAATTGAAATTCATAGCTGTTCAAAGGGTTAAAGTAAACGAGTACTGAAAATCTACTGGTTAAGCATTAATCAAGCAATTCACAATAATTTTAAAATTTTATCATAGCAACTTAGATTGTAAATATAAAATTACAAGTCTTTTTTATTTTATTATTAAATTTTGTTTCCAAGAAATATTGATTCTAATTTTTTAACTTTATTATTGCTCTCTTTTTTTGTTTTAAATAAAAAATTCAAATTCCCTATGTATAGGCCTATGTGTGTATATAACATGTTTACAATTTAATTTCATTGCGGTTGCTTTTCCAATTTTCTTTTATATTCTTGCATATTATAAAAAATTTATTTTCCTCAACATTTTGAATTTTTCGTTTCAATTATAATTTTTCACATTAACATAATTTTTTTTTTTCATTTTCATTTCCATTTTTGTTTTCTTTATGTACATACATAATTTTCAATTTAAGTTAAGCGATCTGTAATATTAAAGATTTAATTCATTTATGTATACCTATATAGGTAGTACACACATAAGTACAGCGACTTACTTTGATTTATTTTTTACAAACCATAGAAAATTTAACAAGAAATTGTTTTTATAACAATACAAAAGCAGAAAAAAATAACTGGTAAAACAAAACCAAAATTTATTTTATTTTTATTTTTTTTTTCTTTTCAAATTACCTTATTAACGCTAGGACCCCCTTCCGTAACAAATCTAACGATAACAGGTCGTTCACTTCCAGCTACAAATCCAAAACCCATTGTAGGGCTTCGATATAATGTTACTGTACGTGGTTCTGGTGGTGTTTCATCATTCCATCTTGAATAATCTGGTGCTTCGTATGTTGATGTTTTATTTAAGTGACTGAAAATAATCAATGAAAATGGTAAGAAAACAAAAATTGATATTATAAAGAAAATTATTTAAAAAATCGGATTATCAGATTAAAGTAAGGCACTTAATATTTCCAAATATAATTTTTTTTCTTTTTTTGAAATTTTATTAAAAGATTTATTAATTAACATTGAATATAATGGTAATTGAAGATAAGTAACACAATGAGATTTTAAAATTAATTATTGGAAGAATATATTGAAAATACGTAAGTGATTTAAGGGTAAGAAAAGGTTTTGATTGGGAATTTGAATAATGGCTCAGTTTCATAATACTTTCTTATTTTGCAATTTAAATGTTGAAATAAATACTCAGAATATTGAAAATTATTAAATGGAAATATCTTTTGTATAAGCAACTGATTTAAGTTGGTATTTATTAAAAATTAAATTTCTGCATTTGTAATAAAAACTGTGTTGGTATATTGTGAGGTAAATTATTAACAGGCGACCGTATGAGAAAGACGAACCCAAGTAGCAAAAATTCAAAATGCAATTCAAATTAAAAGTGAACATAAAATAAGATTCTTTGATTTGTAATAGTTAAGATATGCTTGACATATGTAATTTAAATGGTCAAGAACATATTGGCTACGAAATTAATTGAGGAACTTTAATAAGTTATGAGATAAATAAATTCGACTACAGAATTGCGATTGTTGGAAGCACCTAATGAAAAAGATTCCCTCTGGTTTCCAACCCCTATAAGTACGGATAAAAATTAATTACCCCATAAGTAAGGAGTAAATTTTATTTACCACATCCTCCACAGATTTTACGTTGTTATATGGCTTCAATTTTACGTTTATTTGTGTATGTATCAAATTTTACATATTTTTATAAATAAACGTGAGTCAAATATTTGTTCGTCTATTTATTTGTGAAGCTCTACACATTTTGTAATATAAAACTTATAATATTTTAATTGTAATTTGTTTTTAATATGCTTTGAATTAAAACTAGAACTAGGCATCGGAAGTTTAAATAGCTAAATATTGAAGTTATTTTTGGTTGATTAAACCCAATTAAGATTAATACAATACCAGTCGATTAAAATATGGCTTCCTATAATGAAAATTCTGAGATTTATAAAAATTTTTTTATTTATTTATAAACATTTCCAAATTAAGAGGATTAAAAGGAAAAAAGAATATTTCATTTAATCGTTTATTAAGTATTCGTCTTTCACATATTTTATGAGAAACATTTGATAAGTTTCATTTATTTTCGGTTTTCCAGCTTCTTATGCAGCTTAGAGTCTCCGAAATTAACGAAACAAGTCTTAATTAAAATATTTTAGTTATATGAAAAGAATAACATACTGGGCATTAATATTTTATAATAAATTTAAAGAATCAATGAAGAGTTGTTAAATCGCAAAAAACGTATAAAGGCACACACCTAAGGTTGACCAGTTAAAATTAAGTTTAAAATAGTGAATGACTCCAGGCTGTAGTACAGATTATCCGTACATTTGATCAAATAAATTAAATTTGATAGCGGTCTTCATAATGCAATTTCCACCCTTATTTTTGAAGAAATATGCAATTTAACATGAAAGAAAATTGAGTGATTTGGTAACGTTAATCCTGGTCGAAATTATCCTTGATAATTATTTACCAGATGAATTTTAATAAAGATTTCGTTATTTGGTTATTAATTAATTTCAAAACGACATTTTGTATCTCATATTTAATTGAAAGATTTTCTTAATATTTTTCATTTCAATTTTCATAAAAATTTCGTATTCATTAATTTAATTACCCATATTGTCCACACTTTTATAAAAAAAAGAAAGAGTTCCAATTATTAATTTTAATATTCCATTAATTTTTCATTATTTTAATTTATTTCGAAAATTTATTTAATATTGTGCCATAAAAAAAACCACTTTTCCGTAATATGATCCTTTATTTTTGTTTTTTTTATTAAACATTTTAGCGCACTCACTCCATAATTAGTTAAATTAAATTATATTTTTTTTAATAAAATTTTAATAATATACAGAATCCTTTAAATTAATGCGCTTTATATTCTTGAAAACACAAAATTCTATCTTTAAACAATATACAAGTATCCTTAATATTTAAAATGAATAGTCTTTATATATGTATCTATGTATGTATACTTACTTTATGAAATACGAACGACCTTTGGCATCAATTGCCTTCTCCCATCCATATGGTAATTCTTCATTTGGTCCCCAATTTTCACATGGTGGTAACCATCCAGCTGAATGTGTTATGTGACTATAAAAGAAAAGAAATGAATTGTACATAATTAAGAAAATATTTTTAATTTTTTTTTTTTGAGTATATTTAAAAAGAGAGAAATGGTAACGAAAAATAAAAATTTTTTAATTACATTTTATATTTAAAATGGAAAAACACAAATAATTAGAGCACATACACATATGCTGTACCAGGGACGTTTTTAATATGTTTGACACCATACACGATTTCTAAAAAGTGCTCTCCCTCCCCACATCCCAACTCCCTAATAAATTGCGCATAATAAATCACTTTCGATTTAGTTCATTAATCTGAATGGAAAAGTAATCACTGAATTAAAGTCTGAAATTAAACTTTTAGCTTTTTATTTTGCCATGTTTGTATATAGGTTCTTGATATCATGTTAATTTTGTCGAAAATTTTATAGCGCCCCTGTTTTCTACCGCCCATTTCAAATGTTTACTTTGCAAGTATGTTAGATCCGGCACTGTACTGTACCTTAAAAAAATTAGAACGAATTTGTGAACTTGTTTTCAGGGGAATGCAACAAGATTTGAATGCTTTTTTATTTATCAATTTCATTTGCCCTTTCTTTTAATCAAAATTCATGTATGTATGTATATAAGTTAACCTATTTAAAATAAAATTTAGATTAAAAAAAAAAATAAATTTAAAAAGATGATGAAGAAATAGAATAAAATAAAACGTTATACATATATGAGATTATTAAGAGTAATAACCGTCATAAAATATAATTTCATATAAAATGTTAAATTTATTTTCCAGTTATTCTTTTTAACACAAAAGTGTAAGTGAAGAGATGTTGCCAACGTAAGGAATGACGGAGAATGTTTTTTTGACAATTAATATAGTTATAAATAAGTGAGCATCATAAATAACTAAGAATTAATTAGGTTTCAAGCTGATATGATGACAGAATTAGCCTCTTAAGTACTTTTATATAGGAATTTTAGAGGAGCAGCTTGTAGTGCAAGAATATTCCTTATACACCAATCAATGTGTCCGATTAAAATAATGTAGGTATACTAGTAGTCATTGGCATAAATACCAATTTTAAGAAATACCACAACTGTAGCCTGTAACCAAATGGCTACCTTATTTTTTTCACAGTCAATGAATGCCTTCACATACATAATACATGTATATTTGTTCCCAAAATATTCCAAAAGTTCTTATACCGAAAATTTTACTTCATTTCCATTCAAATATAATTTTGATTAATTTTGTATGTTAAGGACTGTTTGTAACTGAAATTAGAATTATTACTTTATGTAATACATACTTATTTTCAATTATATAAAATGATTTTTTTTTATGAATGTTATTGAGATTTTTATGTTGCACGTTTTCGGTGATGTTGACCTTTTTAAGTGAAATTTTTATTTAATTTCGCATTATAAAACTATTTAATAGTACCTAAAATGGAAGGTATGTAATGAATCTTAGTTTGTGCTTAGTTTGAATAATCTAAAAAATTTAATAAAAAAACCAAAACAATTGCGCTGCCAAACAGCCAGTCCCGGGCAGTCGCAAAGTATGTCCACGGCAGTTTCATCATCACTTCCGCAAAATCTGCACTGGGCAGAGTCCGATTTCCCAGCCTATGCAGGTGATATCTAATCGGGCAATGGCCCGTGAAAAAATTCGCAATAGCGTGAACTCGGCTCCTGCTCATCCCAAACAGGTCCGCGGCGAACTTTTCTCGAGCATATTGGAAGAAATATCTTCGCCTGACGGCACGCTTTCGTGTCCCACCAGTGAAGACCAAATATCGCCGCAATCAGGCAGGCGCGCCCAGTCCGCACGGCGGAGGAAGGCAGACCACAGAAAGACAGCGGCTGCACAAAGTCAGCCCCAGATCCCTTCCGCGCCAGTTCTTCGGCAACCTCGTTGCTCGCATGTCCACTGTCATATAAGTGTCACTCTGTTTATCGATGCCAATAGTTTATCTTATTATCGAGCTCTTATTACCTTGTAATGCAAAATTATTGAGAATTTTAAGGTAATTATAATGTGCTGTAATTATGAACGAAGAAATAAATGTAATGTTGTCGCTTTCTGGTCAAAAGGGAATGGTATTCAACCGATATAAACTAATTCACTAAACTTGATCCATTTTTTTAATCGCTTTTCACTCAAAATTTGTTCAAAAATAATATTTTAATAGCTTGTTTAAAAAAATTTTCGAAAATAATTTAATAAAAAATAATTTTAAAATTTCCCTTTAGATTTTCTTGTACAACTCTAAATTTCATTTTCATGTTTTCAATTTAAAATATCATGATGCAATGGTAAAAAAAAATATTGCAAAAGAAGAAGGTTTTAAAAAATGCCGTTATAAATAAAAGTGATGACAGAATGAGTGTATAAAGTTAATTAACCCCATAAACTGATTTTAAAAACTGTTATATAAAAAGTTTACATATTTATAAAAATATGAAAAAAATTTTTAGAGCAGGAAAATTTTTATTTTTTTCCCTTTTAATTTTTTCATTATATTTCATACGTATAACAAATTGTACAGAAAAATATTTCTTAATTAAATTGTAAGGAGGTAAAAGAAAACCATTTAAAAATATGAAATTAAAAATTTTTAATTCATTTTTTTTTATTTTAATATCTGGATTTAATAGTTAAAAGATAAAATGAAAAATTTATTAAAAAATTGCATATATTAGGGCGTTACCAATTCGAAAAATAAATTGTGTATATATAAATTGTGTAAACACTTAAATTTATGACAATTTAACAGCTCTAGCAATAGCATGTTGGTAAATTAATTTATTTTTTTCCATATTGAGGTTAAAGGAAACGCAATAAATCAAAACAAAAATTAATTATTTGTTTTAAAACATGCAACATGTTTAAAGTTAAAACCAATTATACTGTTTGATACTGGCGTTAAAATAAAAATATAAAATTAAATATGAATTCAAATTAATAGTTAAAGTTTCTAAGCCTCTGAAAATTATATATTTTGAATTTTTAAAAGTTTGTTCAATAAATTATTTTTCCGAATAATCCAGTATCGAACATTTTGTTGTATGTCAGACAATATTTGTACAGTAACAAGATTGACTGTCATAGTTTAGTCAGTTTGATTTTAATTTTTTAAGGGAATTTTTGAAAAATTACGCAAAAACAGAAACTATAATTTGTGCACCTGTAATAAGGGACATTTCAAAACGTAAGTTTGGCAATTAAAGAATCTTAAGATCGTAAGCAGGTTTCTTAATTTTTTTGGAAAGGAATTTTGTAAAATAATTGGAAGTGGTTGGTATGTGTGAAATTCCTTTTAATAGAGTTAAACCTGACATATTTTTCACTTTCTAAAATTCGAAGTTGAAACTTTAAATTTCGAAACGCGTTTTCTAAATTTCAAAGTTCTCTCTCTCTAAAATACAAAATTCATTCTCAAATTTGCCAGTCAAATAAAATTATTCACAAGCTTGGTGATTTATTTTCATACATACAATAATCGAACATGTAAAATCGATGCGTTAAAACGTCATATGTATTCGCATGTTCATAAGAATAATTGTCAAATTGACATACGTGAATTTGATACTGACAAACCGTAAATGTCATTGACAATACTTTTTTAAATTTCCTTGAAGTATAATGTATTTACAACGAAAACTCGGAATGTGAAATTTCTCTTGATCACCACATCAGCCTTATTGCGTGAAATGCAGTGACAACATTGAAAATGACATACTGAGCTAATCAACATTAAATTCAAACAAGTGAAGAAAAATTCAGGTTGATTACTTATACTATATTAAAATTTGTTGGATTGCTAATTAATGCTTCCAATTTAATTATAACTTCTAAAATTACAAAATGATGCTATCGTCATAGCAGAAACTAGAGAATATCTTGCTAAAAAAGTTGTACAAATTTATGAGAGCGAGAATAAAGTATGAACGCAATAAAATTGCATTTTTGTGTTTATTTTCTTTGATGAATTTATAAGTTTAGAAGTTTTTAATTTTTCTTGAAAACTCATTTTGTTTTTATTATGTTGGATCTGGTTGAGTTTCATGAAGAAATTAAAAATTTAACAAAACAATTTTGAAATCAGATTTAATTGTAGAGTAAATAATACGGAAAATAATAATGAAAATATATAAATAAGACCAAAGATTTTATAATTGAAGTTTTTGTATATTAGTTGCTTTCTTAATTGTCATCTATGATAACTTGTAAAATGCTTAATTGGAAATAATTGAAAATGAAGAAGCTAATAAAGAAAAATATGGAAACTATTAAAAAATTACCGGAAAAATTAAGGAATTAAAACTTCTAAATTCTTAAAAATATTAAAAAGATATCAAACATAAAATTAATTTTGTCACAAAAGTTGTGTTGAAATGTTTGCGAATAAAAACGATGCGGAATAGAATTGAGAACGTGAACTCTCTGGAACCTGTACAAAATCTAATCAAATTTTATTACTAAATTTGCCTATATATAGATTTGGAACAGCTGACGGTACAATATATGTAATTAAAACAAATTGTTTTCCGAAATTGAATGGCACTTAGCCCTAATGGAACCTAACTAAATCATGTCTTGATTTGAGCCTGAGGACGAATGAAATTTCTATATCCATTGGTAAGCCATAAATTTTAAATTTATTAGCTATCTCCTCACAATTTCCATTTTAATATTAATTTTTCCAATAATACAAACTTTTACATTCCATCCAATTTATACTATTAAACCACCTATGTAAATTTATATATGAGATTTAGAAACAAAATATCATTTGTATATGTATTTAACAAAAGCTCCCGGACATTAACTTACGAATTCAATTTATTATTAAATCAACAAAATTTATTTTTGGAAATTTATTTTGAATTTTATAGAATGATTAACCGGAAACCCTAATGACCTAATAATTTTTTAGATGATTGATGGCGGAATCGTTGTGCAAAATTTAATTTTCAAAGAGCACAAGAACACACAGAAAATCAAATAAAATTTTGTAA